AAAAGCACTATGCGCTGTACATCACGAGCTGAGTGGCAGAAAGACTATGATGAGTTAGGTGAGCTTCGACAATACTACTCTTGTACTCAACGAGAGTTGTATAACAGTAAGTACCCCAACCCACTGGAACCATTTATGAGAACTGTGCCTCGCCATACCTTCAGCAAGTTATTCCAACTGCGAACGGGTCATGGTGCTATTGGAAAGTATTTTCAAACGAGGTGTATTACTGAGAGAGATTATAACTGCGAATGTGGACAGCTGGAAACAGTTGAACATGTTCTTAAGGAGTGCCCTCTACATCCTGTGGAGCGTAGCTTCTTAAGTAAAGTTTCCCCGGAACTTGATCTAAGAGTCCTGCTTGATACCAAGAAGGGTCTTGGAGCGGTAGTCAAGTTCTTGAACTCATTACCGCAACTTCTTTGCTGATGGTTTGCTTGATTAGAGCAGCTTGTTAAGGTTTTACTGTGTGTCAATCTCTGTTATCATTCCAGCAGGTGTTATGTATCGCAGGTTTCCCTTATCACATGTATTATTTCATGGAGAATTCGGCGCCATCGAATGCCTGAAACACCTAAAGCGCGCTGAGAACGCTAATTTTAAAGTCTCATAGAGACAAATGATTTTTGAATTCCATGTCTTCTTTGTATATCTGTGTTATTATTAATTAATTATGTAACTATGTGATGTAAGGACAATAAACAGATTTTCTATCTATCTATCTATCTATCAACGACGAGGGAGGAGACTAGTCGTGGTGGATCCGACGGGTCTGACGTAGGAGTCGGAGAACGGATTGATACTTATGAAACCGAGATGCATATGTACTGAGATTAGATTCAAGTGATAAACGAATCTAATTTCTAAACAATACTAACTGCTAAACGAGTCTAATTGCTAAACGGGTCTGATTGCTAAATAGGTCTAACTGCTTACAAAATTATTTAAAAGCCCGCGTAGCGCAATGGTTAACGCGTCAGACTTCTACTGGAAGTTTCTTTAGCAAATCTGAAGATTGTGGGTTCGACTCCCACCGTGGGTGCATCTTTTTTTTGACAAAATTGTCAATTATCTGAAATGCAAAGCATACGTGCGTATGTATATAGTTGACAATAATACCAGGAAAACATTATAAAAAACCTCATACTATTATTATAAGCAGTTTATTGTCCTTATAACTTATTATGAGTCATAGTATAAAAAAACCTTCAAGTGATTACTGTGACAAAAATAGTACACATAGCAGTAGCTGAAATTTGATCATCTTCATCACAGTTTAAAATTTTCACAAATAAAATTTGTGTGTTGAGAAAAATCGGACCAATTATCACTTTAATTTTCTAATTTCCGTGAGAGGGCAGGTCGGTAAAATCATGGCGGGCTATGTTATTAAACTGACGATTTCTTCATTGTATATATCTGTTATTATTTAATCAACGTAACTGTGTGATGTAAAGAAAATGATGAATTTTCTATCTATCTGTCTACCTGAATTTGACGATAAAAAAGATTGTTTATTGTAGCCAATGGCGAGAAGGAAAAAAGTTGGAGCCCGGTGAATTTACTTAGAATTATTTTGAATAAGCATTTAACATTTAAAAAACTTACTTGTAACTAAAGCATTTGAAAAAGCTAGCAGTGCATTAAGTATTATTACATGACTTGATAAATTGAAAAATTGTATGCGTAATATGGCTGCGAGAATCATGTTTTTGACCTGTTTTAGGCCCATTTTTCAAGTATGGAATTAAAGTATTAAACTTTGCTGTTTTTAAAAAAAGATAGGTACAAAATTTTAAAAAAATTAAACAACTCCTTAGAAAAAGCACTTAGTTATGTTAAAAACTCCTTGCTCAAGATTTTTGAGATCAAAGCGGCAGTTTTTTTTTGTGGACTTAAAAACGGAGTGTTTTGCTGCAACGAAGTCGTTAAGACGCAAGTATAGATCAGAAAAAAAGAATCCGGAAAGTAAACACACTATTATTACTGACGAGAGATCTTAAATAGGTTACAACATAATATATTTGAGCAAGTGTAAATTTTTGAAAAACCAGATCTGCTGCCCCGCTGAGCATACTGGCTGAATGACTGTGATAAAAAAGAATTTGATAAAAAACTGGTACTACTGTTGGTTAAAATTAAGAAAGTGTAAAAGTCATGATTGAAGCATAACTCAAAAAATGGCAACATCAATACATTTCAGGTGAATGAGAAAAGCATTAATAGTATCGCAAAATAGTGAGTGATGGCTAAATCAGCTTAGTCGTTCCCAAGCCAGGCATTGGAGAAAATTTACAGAGCGAGCCGCGTCGAATTCTGAGAATCATCACTCAACTACGTACAAATCATGATTCAAATGGAAAATGGTTCAAAGGGTTTATAATATCACAGGACTTTTTCAAATTTAGATACGGCGTCCAAAACCAAATGGCACATACTTACAGAATGAGTTCATTACGAAGGTATTAGGCAAGAGCTAAAACAGATATTCCAGCACCAAACTTCTTATTAATACTTAACATAAAACCATAGATTTAAGCCATTTCAAATTTCAGGAAATTAAGATATGAATGTGTTTCAATGTTGTGTTACCGCTACTAAGGTATCATTATGACCGTTTGTTAAAAACATTGCAAATTATCACGTTTCTTAGTTTCCTACTAAGATGAAAATTTATCAAGTGTTAGCTGATTGATCTACAGTTGAGGACGAGAGTTTTCAGCCGACGTCAGCTATGGTTAAATTCAAATTATAGCAAAGCTGATTAAACGGATTTTTTTTGTAACATCGTTCATTATCATTTTAATTAACTATGTGATGTAAATACAGTAGACAAATTTTCTATTCTAGTTTATTGATTGTTCATTATGATCACAGATATAGTAAACCTGTTTGGTGTCTTTATATTGCATAAATAGAAAATTTGTTTATTGTCCTTACATCACATAGTTACATAATTAAAATAATAATAACAAAGATATAAAAAGAAGAGATGGAATTCAAATCTACAAGACTAATATACTTTAAATTTGTAAGAGTTCGGGTTTGAACAAAAACTATCAACGATGAGGAAGCGCAAATAAGTAAACAAACAAAAATAAAATAATAAAATAATAAAAATAAAAATAAATAAAATAATAAAATAATAAAATAATAAAATAATAAAAATAATAAAATAATAAAATAATAAAAATAATAAATAATAAAATAATAAAATAATAAAATAATAAAATAATAAAAATAAAAATAATAAAATAATAAATAATAAAATAATAAAATAATAAATAATAAAATAATAAAATATAAATAATAAAATAATAAAATAATAAAATAAAATAATAATAATAAAATAAATAATAAAATAATAAAATAATAAAATAATAAAATAATAAAATAATAAAATAATAATAATAAAAATAATAAAATAATAAAATAAAAATATAATAAAATAATAAAATAATGAAATAAATTAAAGTAAATAAAAGTTCTAACAAAATAAAGTCTGAAGTCTGCAAGATAATATCTGAGTTCTGTGATCTGGAGGATGGTTGAGAAATAAGGAGGATGATTCTTTGGTAAGAGATTTCTTCGTGCTGAACAGAACTTGGGAAAAAGCAAAACAAAGACGAGTTTATATAAAAAAGTATTTTAAAAATAAAAACCTGTTTTCTTTGTATATCTTTGTTATTATTATTTTAATTATGTAACTATGTGATGTAAGAACAATAAACAGATTTTCTATCTATCTAAATAATAACCTGGAGAAGAATCTTGGAAATTAGGATCCTTGCTCTTCGATGTTCAGCTGTCCTTATAAAGTTGGTAAAATCAAATAATTATATGAGGAAGCTTCACCTGACGCTTTGCGGGGTTGCAAAGATAGCGATGAGGATATGAATCAGAATGTAAACTTTGGAGAGGTATGTAAAGGTTCAGGTCAGAAGGGGTCGTATGAAGGTTCAGGATAAAAGAGCAATGTCGAAAAGTATAATATTAAGAGTTGCGGCTTTGAATCAGAGTTGGTGATACTATATCGAATAATAAAATATGAATAAAAATAGTAAATGGAAAATAATAAATGAAAGATAAAAATAAAGATAAAAGTAAGAAATAGTAAATAAAATAAAAGATAATAAAATAAGAGATAGAAAGTAAAAAGAGATCAGAGTCGTGGGAGTCGGGTCAATTTCTTACAAAATTTGTAAGACAACGGCCTGAGGTTAGTATACTGCTATACTAATAACCAATCCAGAAGTGACGCTTAATAAGATAACAGAAGATAAAGAAATAAAATGAAATAAAAAAAACTAACAAAAGAGAGAGGAAGGTAACTATAGAATTGTCAAGTGCGAAAAGCCTGGTTTTCTTTATTCAAAATACGGAAAGTTATGTAGTCTTAATAGACAAAATTGAAAAGTAAAAATAATAAAAATAAAATAAAAAAAAAATAGAAAATAAAAAAACAAAAAAAATTAAAAATAGAAAATAATAAAAAGGACAAGAGCATCAACGATGAGGGAGGAGGCTAGTCGTGGTGGATCCGACGAGTCTGACGTAGGAGTCGGAGAACGGATTGATACTTATGAAACCGAGGTGAATATGTACCGAGATTAGATTCAAGTGATAAACGGATCTAATTTCTAAACGATAAATGTGATGTAAGGACAATAAACAGATTTTCTATCTATTCTAAACGATACTGATTGCTAAACGAGTCTAATTGCTAAACGGGTCTAATTGCTTACAAAATTTGTAAGAGCTCGGCCTGAAGTCTTAAAGATTATGCGGTGAGGAAGCGCGATGAATAAAATAAGCGACGAATCGGATTATGGATGCTTTAGATAGATAGAAAATCTGTTTTTTTTTTTAGATAGAAAATCTGTCATGGATGCTTTAAGCTTAGAGTAATAAATGATAACTTAAATTAAATCAGCTACTCAACTATATGATCAAAATAAAGTCTCAACAACGCGTGACCAATAAAAGGAAAAGTAAACTATAACAAAAATACATAAGTATAAAAATAACAAGTGGTGGAAATGAAAGTCAGGGTAAGGTGAAATCCCTATTAGGTAAGAAAAAAGCTTTGATGTTTGAAGGACATCAAACTAAAAATAATTTCTTAAGTTATGGGCGTCTAGTGTAGTGGTTATCACATTCGCTTCGCATTTTAGTGTCAAGACTGCGAAAGGTCACCGGTTCAACTCCGGTGTCGTCCATTTTTTGTTCAATTTTTTAATTGATAAATGTTTTTAGATGAAATGAAATTCCGTTTAATTTTAGTTCAGGACAAGCTCTTTATGATCTATGATAAACGCCTTTAGCTTTTTTTTTTTTCTTTTCTTTTTTTTTTTTCAATAAAAAAGAAAACTGTTCATTGTTTTCACCATCGAATGTCTGAAACACCTAAAGCGCGCTGAGAACGCTAATTTTGAAGTCTCATAGAGACAAATGTTTTTTGAATTTCATGTCTTCTTTGTATATCTTTGTTATTATTATTTAATT